ACTTAAATTTAAACAAGTTCAGTGCATAGATGAGTAAGTTCTAAATTCTCTCGAAGCACATGATTGACTTGGTCCCAGAAGTCATCTCCAGATACCATATCAACCTTCTTCTGCTCTGTTTTGGGAAGGAGTTCCTTGAGACATTTTTCTTATCATTAAGTGGTGCTAGGTACATATTTTTTCTTAAAATCTCCTTTATTTTATATCTCAGTGATTATACCTTTGCGTTCTGGAAACTATATTAGTGGTGACAGAATCTCCATATCACATGCAATGTATGAATCAGAACGTTTTAGATAGCCAGTCCTCACTCATCGTGATGTCTTTTCAGTACGTTTATCCTGATAGGTCAGCCTTCTCAGGACTTTTGTACTACTCAATTACCACATGCTTCAATAACACACGAATCAGCGTGCTTGTCTGACCCTGCACATCATTGAAAGCTGAAGTCATTGCCCGTAACTGAAGAAGTATTCCTGAATTAGTGCAGTTTAGATGTCTACCATTCTCTCAGGGAAACAATTAAACTGCGCGGGCAATAAGCCAATTAAAACACTCAAACAGATGAATTAAACATCTCACAAGGTCCAGGTAGTTGTAGATAAGGAAGGAAAAAACAGCATTAACCCGGTTCACATTTATGATGATACAGAGGATTTTTGACTGGCTTGGATGTATGCTCCTCTCATCTACGACATTTACCTACTTAGGAAACAGAGCATTCTTTATTATCCATACAATAACTTTGATGTTCCTGCTATATATCTCCTAAAGGTGTTATCTCAGGTACAAAAAACAAAAAAACAAAAAAACCAACAGGGACTGGAGAGATGGCTCAGCGGTTAAGAGCCTTGGCTGCTCTTGCAGAGAACCCAGATACAGTTCCCAGCATCCACCAGGTGGCTAATTCCAGTTCCAAGGACTCAGACATCCTCTGCTGACCTCTGTGGGCACTGCATGACATGGGTGCACTTACATATGGGACCCAGATACAGTTCCCAGCATCCGCCAGATGGCTAACTCCAGTTCCAGGGAATCAGACATCCGCTGCTGACCTCTGTGGGCACTGCATGACATATGCAGGCAATATACTCATACATGTAAAATAAAAATAATAAATAAAAATAAAACAGAGGAAAGGGCCTACACACATTTGGTGATGAGACACTGGGTCAGTTTGCAGAATGAAAGAGAAACCCTTTCTATCATAGGCTTTTAAATAGATCCTCCTGAGATAAATCTTTTTTTCTGCTTATAATAAGGTGAGAAGACCCACCTTTCCTATTGGGGAAACAGAGGCTTCCTTTTGTCTTCTTAGTCTCATTAATAAAAGAATTTAAAGACAGACTTTGAATGAAGCTTGAGGGCAATTAAAGTTTAAGAGAAAAAGAACAGGTCAGGCAAGATGAAAATCTTGGTCACTGCCGTGAGGAGGGGAGATAGAGAGAAAAATAATCATGCCTTTAAAATTAGACATGGAGGTCAGAGAAATAGTAAGGAAGTCCAGTGTGTTAGGGAAACGTATGCTTAAGCATGGCGAGTATCTGAAAAAGATCCTGAAAAAGGAAAAAGAAAAACATGCTTGTGCCCCAGGATAAAAGATACATTAGGAACACAGGGTACGAAATAGAAGCAGTTTATTAAGAAAGGAAAAGTACTCCCAAGAAAGGGGGTGGCATAGTGAGCCAAAGGAAGAGCCCCAAAACCCAGGGCCAGGAAATGTATTAGACTTTTACATACTGCCTGCCTCTCCTGACTATATTGCAGGACTTTCTCTCCCAAGTTCTGTTCCTTAGATGAAACCCAAGGTGAGGAGAAGTTTCCAGTCTTCCTTGGCAAATGGGCTTCTTTCATATTTCTAAAGTAGTTCAGTCTCTTGTCCCTTCTCTCCTGTCACAGGCTGGGATTCTGGACTTCACAAAAGGAGAAAGTTTGCTGAGTTTGCCCATTCGTGTCCCTCTGCTTCCCGCCTGGACACAATGTGCGAGCCATCTCTTGGCCATGTTATCATACCTTCCTTGACTGTAACCCTTGGGACTGCAAGCCCAAATAAACCCTTCCTTAAGTTGCTTTGAACAGGTATTTTGTTTCAGCAAGAAAACAAGTAACTAATACACATTCATGGTATACTAACTACCCATCTTTCTGCATATTAAAGTTTTCACTTTCTGGGCCTGCAGGATGGCTCAGAGAGTAAAGTTGCTTGTTGACAAGCCTGACAACCTGAGTTCAAATCCCTGAGACCTCATGATGGAAGAAGAGAACTCACTCCTACAAGCTGTCCTTTGACTTCCACACCATGTGGAAACTCTTCCTCTCTCACATACACACACACACAAAATAAATATAACAAGTTTTAAAGAAAATTACCTATTGACTTTATGGTTGGGCAACTACTTCCATGAAAGTTCCTAGAAAAAAAATCCATGTCTACAAAATGAACCTTCTGTAAAGCTGATTAACTGATTAGAACTTCAATGACTGTGGAAACTTTGGAATTTGAAGCTGCAGAAGCCTAATTACAATTTGTCTTGAGCTATCTTCAGCCCCTAAATAGCCACTCTTTTCCCACCTCTATGTTTGATCTAACATCCTGTGATTAACAACCTTTTGGAATGTATTAACTTGATGAAACCTTGGTTTTCACCAACCAAAAGACTATCATCAGGACTACATTAGGAACTTAGGCCTATAGCTGAGGCCAATAGCCGAGATTGCTCCATTTGGTTCTAACCGCCTACTTACCAATGTATTTGAAATGTATCAATTTATGGCTTTCTTTGTTCTGTTGCTATGAAAACTTCATGAATCTGCTTCTATGTTGGAATATGGAATTTGGGGTGACCTAAATCTGTGTTTCTGGGCCATAGTCACTCATATTTTTTCTCTAGAATAAATTATCTCTTATCCCCTTTGAGGTGAGAGGTGTATTTTTATATCAATATACTCAAATATTAACAGGCTTGGGGGTCACTGAAGATGAACCCTCCTATAATCAACTTTGAACCCCTCCATCTCTAATTTTAAGGAAGGGAGAGCCTTCCTAAATCCCCCTCCCTGTACTGACCAAACTGACTCCATTTTGGATAAAGTCGCCATCTTAGAAGGTTAGCCATAGTGTATTTCTAGCTCAAGGATTGTTTTCAGAAGCCCTGATCCCCTTCCCCCTTTCCTCCCAGGAGAATGCTGCTGTGGTCACTTGCTCTCTAGACATATAGAAAACAAAATTATTAGGATATGACTAACTGCTGATTTTGCTTTCTGTAACTTGCTTGTTTTGCTATTTTAGGGCACCTTGACATGTAGACTGTGATCACCCTCCACCCTGTTATTCGGGGATCACCTTGTCAACATTCCTTCTTAGGGTTTTTAGCTTTAAAAGGGCCCCTTTCCCTCTCCCTCCCCACTGCAGCACTCTAATCCAATGAGGTGACTGCAGTCCAAGCTAGCTTGAATAGTCTTTTATCCCAATCTGAATTGAGTCTGGTGGTCTTTCCTCAGTAGTCCCAGGGTCCATAACACCCCCCCCATTTAGAATTTGAAATACTGTGAGAAAGGAAGGAAAGTATCACAACTGACCTTCTTAGAGCTTCAAATACCATGTAGAAGGAAGAAGGAAGCATCCCAATAACCTTACTTGTATTTGAAAATGAACTAGGACAGGGATCAAGGAGGAGGTAGCAGGGCTTTGATGAAGCCCAAGGTGAAGCTATTTCCTCAGAGTAAAGCATGGCTATTTTATTTTTTATTATTTATTTATTTAAAGTTTGTAGACATAGGGTCTCCCTGTAGCCCTATCTGGCCTGGAACACACTATGTGAACCAGCCTGGCCTTAGTCTCATAGAGATCCACCTGCCTCTGCCTCCTGAGTACTGAGGTTAAAGGTGTGTGCCACTGTTAAAAAATTAATTTTTTATCTAGGGTTGGAGCGATGGCTCAGCTGTTAAAAGAGCAGTGGCTGTTCTTGCAGAGGATCTTGGTTCAGTTCCCAGGACCCACATGGCAGCTAACATCAGTCCATAATTCCATTTCCAAGGGAACTGGATGCCCTCTTCTGGTCTCTGATAAACACATGCAGGCAACACACCCATACACACAAGGATACAAGTAAGTAAAATTTAAGAGTCATTTTAATCTCTGTTACACGATTTTTGGTCAAAAGAATTGGACTTGAGTCATACCTCTGACCCTGAGTAGAGACACGGCATTTTAAACTACCTCAAAGATTATGAGATTACATAATCTAATACTGTCCTCTTCTTTAAGAGTTCATCAGAATAAACCTGCCAGTCACCTGGACAGGATGATGCCCCTCAAAATGCCATAACATCAAAAACATGTTACACCTGAACACGTGATAAGAAGCCATAAGGAATAACTACCCCCTTAATGAGATTTGAATTTACACACTTCAGACGCTCATGCTTCAACATAGTTGCTAATAGACCTGCACTCAGAAAGTATAACCTTTTCCTTTCCCTCTTTCTTTCTCCTTTTTTCAGGTAGGAGTCAAAATCCTAAGCCTGCTGCCTGGAAACTTTCCTCTTCCACCTTTCTCTTTGAGGTGCTACTGAGATCTGTAGTCCACTTGTCCTGTGGCTTTTTTCTCTCCAATACCAGTAACAATGACCTCAAGTTTCCTCCTCTGAGTCGTTTTCAAATTCTTTTATGTATGAGATTTAAGAACGTACAAACAACCCCATGTTCTCAGTTCTCCCTATTGCTAGCACAATAAATTTTATCCTGAGTGCAACTACCATGTCAAGAAAATAACCCTAAAAATATGTGAGATTTCCTCTCAAAACGTATCGGATCCAAAACGGAGAAAACGCTATCCTACTTCAAGTGTGACAAAAATAATGCACACTTGCAATCATTGCAAAAGATGCCAAAGCTCTCGGCAATTTCTGGGAAATCAGGCCAGTTACAGCCAAGCTTTCTCAATCAAGCAACACTCAGGAAATCCTTTTTCTAACTGTGTATTCTGAACTCGCTTTGCAGTTTCAGTTTCGATTAGAGGGTTTAAGAAAGGCTGTGAGTTCTCTGCCAAGGGCTGGGAACAGGAAGAAGAAAGGGAATTTCCAGGACCAATCACTACATCAAAAATAGCCACAGTTAAATAAGTGAACAGCTGTTAGAACTCTTGCAAAGTCCTCTTTAACCAGCTTTCCACTGGTCTTTGCTCCTGCTATTTTGTTAAGGTAAGATGGGACATGGGTAGAAAGACACTGACACAGTTGTGTTTTAAAAATATTCTGTGCAGAATAAGATCCAGCTTAGTCTGGTATGATGTATGAGACCCACTAAAGATTAAACTGCACCAGATTTCATACATTTTGTCATATATGTTGGGCTATGGGCAGTGCAGATAGAGGAGGAGGGCTAAATATGATTAAGATGTATTACATGAAATGCACAAAAATTAAATTAAAATATATATTGAAAAGTGCATCACAATACAAAAAGATTAAATTGCAATGTTATCAGACAAGTAGGATTGTTTATCAAATGGTTAGAGTGAGACCCTGGCTATATTTGCTGATGGATAGGACGGCAGTATGAGGAGGGGCTAACGGAGCTTGAAATGTCTTCCAACTGTTCTTTTCCTCTGCCGTTATAACTTGTTGGTGTGCCTAACTGCCGTTTAACTGATCTTTGCCTTTGCTAAAACCTGATTGGCTGTTTCAGTTTCAAGAGCTGTGATGGTGCTATTGTCTTGAGGAAGAGCAATGGATGACTTGCAAATGAAAGTAGCTTCCTCATTCCTAAAGAGGAAAGAAAAGTTGAAACTCAGAGTAAAGAAGGAAGTTTCATGAAGAGAGCAGTACACACTTAACTCTAGTGCAGTCTTAAAGATTCTTCCTGCAGAAGCTCCATCACCAGCACTTCTGAGCATTTTCTGTTGCATATCTTGGCAGTTTTCTTATGTGTAGTTTTTTCCCCTGTTGTAAAGCCCTCCCCCCATTAAAGAAGAGTTATTGATTTAAGCCTATTTTATTACTTTTTATTTTATTATTTTTATGTTGTGCATATGAATGTATTGCCTGAAGAGCAGCAAGCATTCTCATCCACTGAGCTACCTCTCCAACCCCAGCCTTCTTTTAAAGCTGGCAGTTATACTGATGAAATGAATATTTATTTATTTATTTATTTATTTATTTATTTACTTACTTACTTACTTACTTACTTCTGGTTTATAGGGAGTAAACTTAAACAGTTAAACAACATGCCAATGTCATAGAGCTAGTCATTTCCAACGCTGGGATTGGAAATAAAGTCTAATTACCACAAAGCCCAAATGTGATTTTTTCTACATGTTTTGTTCCATGACTGCATTGTTTTCATTTATAAAAGTTATGAGACTCTAACAGAGTTAGAGTACATGCCTCCCAGAGTATATGTGTCACAGGCTGAGTTATGACAGAGCAGCAGTTGGGAATGTGGCTGGAGAATGTTAAATAATTCCAGAATATTTAGCAAAGACACTTCAGAGGTTTGGCTCTTGTAAAAGCATTGAGGATGCTATCCAGATACTGTTTGATGCCAACATGAAAAATATTGTGTTGTAGATCTACATGGTGCTAATACTATTCATAAAATCTGAAAATTCAGTTAAAGTCATTTCTTCCTCCATTAGCAATATCATCCCAAAGTGTAAGAGCCTACAGGTCCCTAATATTGCTTGTAGATGCGCATCTTCTTTGTTCCAAGCAACTGCAGATCATCACTGCAAAGTTTCCACACTTCATAATCTGGGAAAAAAATTCTAGCTCCTGCTACATACATCAGGCAACCAGAATTCTGATACAGAGTAGCAACATTACCCTCAAAATAGATTAGAATGGAAAAACACTTGGCATTTAAGTCTTTCAATTCACCGAGGTATCTCTACTTTCTGGGGCAGACTTGCTCTAAGCATTTCCTGACTCCCATGCCTTGATGGCCATGCCATATGTGAATGTTTTCCCACTGCCTGTGAGGGCTTTCCCACTGCCTGCTTCTGTAAAAGCAGTTTCTGTTTTGTCACCAACATGATTTATCCTGCAGTGGCTGTGAGAAAGTGAAGCAGGAATAATGTCTTTATGATTGTTAAATGCAACAAAGAATCCCACACTTTTTAGAGTCTGCTGGTGCCATGAATCCAGATCTTCTCATTCTAATACCACAGCGAAAATGAACTCGAAGCAGATTATGGCTTTTTAGCGTCTTCAGTAGATACTCATTTTAAATAAGTGGAAGATAGCTCCTCTCCATGATAAGTAGAGCAGAGAAGCAGCTTTACTCATTCAGCTCCAAATATTTTACTAGGCATTTTTTAGGATTACAGGAAATGATGTGCCTAAGTAAAAAATAAATGATCAAGCACTATTAAAGGAAGAGTTCTCATTCATTTTACCAATTGTAAAATGATCATGCTTTGAAGTTACAGGCTGATAAAAGACATTCATAACTACATAGAATATGTTTTAAGAAATACAGTTTCCAGAAATAAATACTTGTGATTTATTGGACAATTATGTATAAATATATATGTAGTGTGACTAGCAGCATTAAAGCAGTGCAGCCTGGACAACAGCTGAATAAGAGAAAAACAAGTGTAGTAACAAGTAATGGGCAGGAAGAACCAATCCTGGGATACCAGCACATAGAACCTCACAGTGAGCCAAAAGCCAATGGAATGAATCAGAATCAAATTATCAATAGGTCAGACTCAGGAATGTGTTTCTCTGTGTCTATCAAGTATTTATAAACCAGTGGGGTGGCCTATTATAGCTCTGTGAAGGGACCTATACTTTACTCTGCTACTTTTTAATATTTTATTTGACAATTTCTTCAGAAACTTAGGCCATGATAAGAGATAGTATGTTCCCTGATTCAGTGGGCAAAAAGTCTTTCTTTAAAGACTAGCAATTTCAGGCCATTCCATTTCTTCCCTGTAGACAAAGTAACATCTCTGACATGGCTCCGTCAATCCACATGCCAGAGCCCATGTGCCTCATTGGGAATACAGAGGAGCAGTTAGTTGTCAACCAGGAAGCCCTGGAGATCCTGTCTAATATCACACAGCCTATGGTGGTGGTGGCCATTGTGGGCCTCTACCGCACCGGCAAATCCTACCTGATGAACAAGCTGGCTGGGAAGAAAACAGGTGAGTACCACCAGAAGAGATGTACTGAGATTCTGTCCACCACACTGTCAGCATCCAGCATAGGAAAGTGAAGAGAGAATGTTAGGGATTGGGCAGGATATTGAAAGCTAGAGTTTATGCCATAGCTGTTCTTTGTATCTTTGGATAGATGAAGGGCAACTCTCTATCTGTGACATAAGAAGCAAGACATCAATGAAATAAATTCCATTCATCAGACTACTAAGTTTTTAGTAGCATGATAAATTATTTTGAAAAGAGCAGCAAATTCAGTTTAAGGTGTTTGATATTATTTGCTCAGTCCCTACTAGAATTCAGATCATTACCTGCATTTTCTACTGCCTCATCATCTTGTTTTCTGTAAATCTTAGCTTTTTATCAGGAGAACACCTGGCTTACAGACTCCCTCCTCTATTGCCATCTCTCACTCTGATTTGCAGGCTTTTCTGTTGGCTCCACTGTGCAGTCTCAAACCAAGGGAATCTGGATGTGGTGTGTGCCTCACCCAGAGAAGCCAGACCACACCCTAGTTCTGCTTGACACTGAGGGCCTGGGAGATGTAGAGAAGGTAAGGAAGGAGGATTCTGTCTGGATTGGACTTATCCCATCTTATCTTTGAATATTCTTTGTACAGGAAGCCACATCCCCCATTAAATTTGTACTCTCAATGGACTTGAGTATACCCCTCCCCGTCTTTAATAGCGTTTAGAGACATGAAGTGAGAAAACATATTTATAAGGTAGAATCAGTATCTGGGAATACGACACTGATGTTGAACTAAACATAGAATCAGTAAACTCACACTTAGGACGATGTGCACACTATTTGCGTCTTATGAGTTGATATGAGCTGGCTCTTGTACATAATTAGATCTTTCCCTTGAATGTCCATTGTGATAGGGTTGTTTTTGTTCTTTTTTTAACTTCTGATTTACCAAGATTCAAAAATGGGGAGTCATACTTTGAAGTTAATTTCCTTACTTATGGTAAAAAATAATTTTATAAGTTCATTTCACAGCATTATTTTTTTAATTAAATCAACATTGTGAACTGCCTTATGTGGGTAACCATGAGTCAAATAGATATGTGTATCATGTATATAAGCCAAATTTGTTTTTCGCCGTGGAAAATTTTAGTTTTAAAGACTCTAATTGCCCCCATTAACTTTGACTATTCATCAGCTATCTAATTGTTATAAAACTGACTGATGGGAGTTGGAGAGAGCTCAGTGGTTAAGAACACTGACTGCTCTTGTAGAAGACCCGGGTTCAAATCCCAGCACCCACATGGCAGCTAACAACTGTCTGTAACCCCAGTTCCAGGGGATCTGACAGCCTCTTCTGTCCTCCACGGGCATTGCATGACACGGGTGCACTTACCTACATGCAGGCAATACACACATACACATAAAATAAAAATAATAAATAAAATAAAAAAATAAGAGACCACTGAGTGAGTAATGGATGGATCAGTATAAAATTATCAGTGTGAGAAGTGTATAAAATAGATATGTCCAACAATCAAATTTTGTTTGTCTTGTTTAATGTTTGTGTGTCAACATTTCATTTTTATTGATTACTAATCTGGTTATACCATGAGACATGACTCAACTTTATTCTGATTTCTAGATTGATGAAAAGAACGATACCCAGATCTTTGCACTGGCAATCCTACTGAGCAGCACCTTTGTATACAATACCATGAGCAAAATTGACCAAGGGGCTATTGACCTACTTCAGTATCCTTTTTTGGGATCCAGGATGGTACCATGCCAGAGAGAACAAACTAGTTGTGTATTTATGAGAACACTATGGACTCAGAAAACTTAAAATATAGGGGCTGAGGATAGGACTCAGTTAGAAAAGTGCTTATTGTGCAAGTATGAAGACTTGAGTTTGGATTCATAGCACCCACATAGAGCCAGGTGTGGTAGCCTGGGCCTGGAACCCCAGTGATGGGGGCTCACAGACAGGAGGATTACCGTGGTTTGTTAGCCAACTAGTGTAGCCAATCAGTGAACTCCAAGTTCAAAGAGAGACCATGTCTCAAATGACAAGTTGAAGAGCAGCAGAGGAAGACACTCAGTCCACCTCTGTCTTCCACACATATGTGCACTCACACGTACAAACATATATCCACACATGTACAAGATACACAAAGTATTGCGCAGAACAGAAATACAAGGATAAGAGCCCTCATGTATGCCACTGATGCGATGTTGATTCTGTTAAATGGCAAAGGAAAACAGGTTTAAGGAGGCCTCAGATAAACTATGGGCTTAGCTGGAACTCTGCTTCTACCAGTTTTCCTCAGCCGCATCCTAGCAATGTGACAGAACTGACAGATCTGCTCCGCACAAGAAACTCCCCTGACCTCAGTGGGGCTGAACAAACTGCTGATGTGAGCTTCTTTCCAGACCTGGTGTGGACTTTAAGAGATTTCTACCTGAGCCTGGAAACAGACGGACAAGCCATCACCTCAGATGACTACTTAGAGAATTCACTGAAGCTGAAACAAGGTAAAGTGGGAAGAGGAAAGAGCCCAAGAAATGATCTTCTGTATAGACAGCTAAGTTTACCATTTTCTGAATTTACTCACTCAGCTCTCCTACAAAATGACCAATGAATATTAATAATTCAGAACAAACTAATAGATTCACATTAAATTGCATTATTCCTTTGCTCTTGAACAAATTTCCCTCAGCTTTCTTCATGAATAGTTACTTTTTTATCTTTTGGCTCAAGGTAACATCAAGAAGAGTTTATTTACTCAAGTTAAATAGATGAATATGAATGTGACTTATATACTAAGTAAATCCCATATTTCCTTCTCCAGGTAGCGATGAAAGAACTCAGAGTTTCAATCTACCCCGTCTATGTATCCAGAAGTTCTTCCCAGTAAAGAAATGCTTTATTTTTGAGTCACCCACTCATGGCAAAAAGCTTGCCCAGCTTGAAGAACTGCAGGATAGTGAGCTAATTCCTGAATTTGTGCAACAGCTGACAGAATTTTCTTCCCATATCTTCAGCCAGTCCAAGATCAAGACTCTTCCAGGAGGAATCCAGGTCAATGGGCCTCGTGAGTACCTTTTAAAGGATTTTTCTTTTAGCTCATCATGAAGAATAAGAGATGCATAGTGTTTCTTTGTAGTGCCAGAGTTAACAAATGTGTGAGTGACTGCCACGATGGAGACCCTATTTGCCATAAAAGTTATAGTATATATCAAACATACCATCAGTATCAGAGTAAAACCTCAAAAGCTATATGAAATAAAATCACAGGAAATAAGACAATAAGAGACGTTTTACCCATTATCAAACTGCTGTTAAAATATATCAACTTGCATGGGTTGACTTTTTTCAATAAACAGATTGGATTTTTATATGTCCCAGTCTTTGATAAGCACAAGATAAAAATTATAGACATTCCCTATAGAAATGGAATTTGGTTGATACAAATGTTGAACAAAACCCTAAAATCCTGGAAGATGTCTCCTCAGGCTTCTTGGTTTAGTTTATCATAAGAACTCTGTCTTAAAATTCTGTAAATTAAGTATTTTAAAGGGATTTTGTATTCTCTCTGTGAAAACTGACAAAGAAGTTTCAGCAAAAGCAGGCCTAGATTGCTCCATTTGTTCTGTTTTACAGAGAAATCTCTTACACCATCATTATTATAATAAAGTAAAAGAGAAAGGAAAATTCTGAATAAAAAGAAAAGGAAGTTAAAGAAGCAGAGCCCTGCAGCATTTTTTCCAAATGAATATTTTACACAATCATCTCCTAGTTCTCTATGGACAAGACATGGACCATTACATTTGCGCTGAGAATTCCTCTATTTTCTTCTTTTTTTGGGGGGGTCTTTTTGAAGCAGGGTCTCCCCGTAAGCCCCAGCTGTCCTGGAACTCACTATGTAGACCAGGCTGGCCTTGAACTCACAGAGATCTGCCTGCCTCTGCCTCCCAAGTCCTGGGACCACGGGCGTGCACCACCATGCCTGGCTATTTTTCTATTTTTTAAAAAATATTTTATTATTTTTTATTTTATGTGTACAAGTGTACTGTCTGTATGTATGTAAGTGCACCTGGGTCATGCAGTGCCCACGGAGGTCAGAAGAGATTCCCCTGGAACTGGAGTTATGGATGGTTGTTAGCCTGAGCTATCTCTCCAGCCCTAAGACTAGACTTTTTAATCACATAAATTCCCAAGGGAACTTCTCTGGGCCACTTGAATCTTGCCCAGAATGCTGAAAAACTTCAGGCAATCCACTGTTAACATTTCAGAATGATTCCATATAGATCTTGGACCCTTTTTCTGTAAACAATACAAGGATCTCTTTCTTCTGCTAAGGTCTAGAAAGCCTGGTGGTAACCTACGTCAATGCTATCAACAATGGGGACCTGCCCTGCGTGGAGAACATAGTCATAACCATGGCCAAAAGAGAGAACTCAGCTGCAGTACAAAAGGCTATTTCTCACTATGACCAGCAGATGGGCCAGAAGGTACAGCTGCCCACAGAAACCCAACAGGAGCTTCTGGACCTGCACAGGGCCATTGAGAGTGAGGCCATAGAAATCTTTAGGAAGAACTCTTTCAAGGATGAAGACCAAAGTTTCCAGAAGGAATTAGAGGTAGTATTTTTTTTATAGTTCATAAACATCAGGGATAATAGAAGGCAAAAAGATTTCTGTAAGTGATAAAATAGGACTAATTAAGAAAATAATTTCTACTAGACTCGAAATGATGAGAGTCACTTATATGGCCATACTTTGGTTGGGAAAATAGACAAACCTGTAAATAAACTGGCCCTGTAGATTCTGACCTTTACACACATGCGTACAACTCACCTTTACTCATGAACTAAGCTTGAACTGCTTTTATTTCATTAACTATTATATTTACAAATATTTACTTTTTATTAATGAAGTACACAGAATTGTCTTTGTATCTACTAAAATATGATGAATCAAAAATTAATAGCATAAACTGATATTCCAGCTAATTGTTCAATTTTACCTTCACACTGAACTGGAAGAAAATCCGAAAAAACATCTAAAAATGGTTGCATTAAAAATTATGACCAGAGTTAGAGGTCTATGATAATAAAATTACACATAGTTACAAGTAACATATTGAGAAATGAGTTTCAAGTAACTCCAATTTGATTCAGTGGGTTTCTCTCACATACAAAAGCACATACAAGTTGGGGTGGGTTTCCTTTGAAATAATGAGGGTTTCAGTAGAAGAAGGAAGGGTCATGAGAGAAGGTAATAGAGGTGAAAATGACTAAAACTCACTGTATACGTGTATGAAATTGTCCAAATATGATGAATAAGCTAAAAAAGAAACAGAAGAGGACATTCTTCTCTTGGACCCCCTACCACTCTCAGGTCTTCTTTCTCACTTTTTCTTTAAAAAGCCTACTTTTGCTCTGCTTTAAAAAAAAACCCTCTAACCTCTAAATACATATAATTTAAAATATCATTTATTGTTTTTATTTCGTATGAGTGTATTGCCTGTGTGTATGTAAGTGCACTCATATCCTGCAGTGCCTACAGAGGTCGGAAGAGGGCACTGGATTATCCTGTGACTAGAGTTATGTATGGACCATTGTTAGTCTCCTTATGGGTGCTGGGCATTGAATCCAGGTCCTTTGCAAAGCAGACAATGCTCTCCAGCCCCAATACATATAATTTTTCAGAATACCATCCTTGGAATTTTTCCAGGTTTGGTAAGAAGGATATAATCTTATACTCAAAGAAAAAAATGTAGAATATTTTTTAAAATTTCAGAATTACTGATTTTGCTAACATCTTTGTGGGTTTCTGTCCCTCTGAAGACCCTACTAAGTGAAAAGAAGGACGAGATTTGTAAGAAGAATGCAAAAGCATCTTCGGAGTGCTGCTCAGCCTTAATTGAGAGTATTTTTAAGCCTCTGGAACAAGAAGTGGCACAGGGGGTTTATGCTAAACCAGGAGGCCACAGCCTCTTCCTTCAGAAGAGAGAGCAGCTGAAGACACAATACCAACAGAAGCCTGGGAAAGGAATACAGGTATCTTTCACTTCATCTACAAGTTATGAGAAATAGCCAAGGGCTTCTTTAGAAAAATCATTGAGGACAGAAGGAAAGATGCAAACACAGGTACAGCGATAAATTTAATGACCTGCCCAGGAGTGATACTGTCATTGAATGAACATGCATAGGAAGAGTTTGCACTTGGCATTACTATTATAGCATGGACTCTTCAGTGACAGCTATGAGATTAAACTGAGCCATCTCTATAATCCCTAAACCACTATCATAGCCATCATTGTTGATGGGCAACAGAGGGGCTTTTTAGGAAGAGATGGGACAGAATCTCAACAACTGAAACTAATTTAAGGAAAAAACAATAATGGATTGGCTTACATAAACCAAAACCAAAGGCATTCATTTCAAGTATACGTAGAAAGTATACATTTCAAGTATAGATACATTTAAGAGTTGAAATGATGTCATCCATTTTCCTCCTTTTTTCCTTTCCAACCCCTACTTCATTTTCCCGTTTTGTTTTCTTGACTATTAGCTCCATTTTCAAGCAGGCTCACATATGCATAGAAATAAAAAAGGCACTGATATGTCCACCCAAATTTAGCTGCTTCAGTGACCTACATCTCAGAGGAGGGCGAGCATATCTGCCCCAGCATCTGTATTAGTCTTTTACATCCAAGGTTCAGTTTTTCCCCACCTGTAAACAAGATGGTTACATCTGGGGTCCCTGGGTGCTCTGATAATCCAGGCCAACATCATGACCATGCCCATAGATGAGGCATGATAGATGGGCTCCAACAGGTAGGCGCTGGCTGAGTACCCTCTAGGAGGGAGAGATACTCAGAGGAATAAGAAATAAAGGCATTTACAGCATTGTTAATTAGCACTGCCTAATTCTAACACATGGTTTGGTATTCCTAGGCTGAGGAAGTTCTGCAGAAATATTTGCAGGCCAAGGAACCTCTGAGTAACACGATTCTACAGACAGACCAGCGTCTCACAGCTAAGGAGAGGGAGAGGGAAGGTGAGAAGAAAATGGAAGCGACACATGATAATGGCCACCAGTTTAAAATTAAGGTGGTTTGCCCGACCTGAAACAATTTGCAAGAACATCAAAAATGGTTCGTAGCAATTTGCAGCCTGCCTGAGAATTCACGATGAGCTGCAGGAAAGGAAAAACAACCCAGGGAATCTTTATCCACAGAGATGGAACAGCAGCCACCCAAAGTGGGAGGCAGAAGAGGGTTCAGTAATCCTCGGGAGGGAGGTTTGACATTTCCCTTTCTCCTCAGCGGAACGTGCTAGAGCAGAGGCTGCCAGGGCTGAAGCACGGAGGTTGGAGGTGCTTCGTATTCAGGAAGAGCAAAGGAGGGCAGAGAGAGAGAGACTCCATCAAGAGCAACTGAGGAAAATGGAAAGAGAGAAAGCAAACTTCCTGGCAGAACAAGAGAGGATCCAGAAAGTGAGACTCCAGGTAATCATCAACTGTTTCCTCCCAGGGCAGTTGCTCAGTCTCTCTCCTTCCCATCAGGTTGACAGCATGAGTCAATGGCCCAAAGAAGCAGCCTTAATGCGGTCTCTCAGGGCAAGAGCTCTGGAATATCAAACCAAGTACCACCTCTTACCACATGTATGGTTTATGCAATTAACTCTACCCTCCATGCTTTGATAATAATAATATTACAAGGTTATAGTAAATGCCTTAATATTTGTGTTTAGAATGATGTTTGGCACAGAGTATGCATAATGAATTATTAAATAAAGATGAAAGCATTTTTTTTTTGAGACAGGGTCTCCCTGTAGCCCTAGCTGGCCTGTAATTCACTATGTAGACCAGGCTAGCCTTGAACTCACAGAGCTCCACCTGCTTCTGCCTCCCGAGTGCTGGGATTAAAGGCGTGTGCCACCACGCCTGGCCAAGATGAAGTCATTTCTTATCACAGTAATTGTCTTTTCTGTGGACTTCTTGCTTGCTTGTACACTCTTCTGTCTTGATCATGATACTTTTGTACATAACTGTCATGTTCTGTATCTTTGTTCCTGTCTTTGTCTTGATCATCCCTGGTTCTGATGGTCTTTAAGTTGCACTTTCCTTTAATTTTATCAGCACTCAATGAACAGTAGTCGCTATTTACCAAGAACTCTGCAAAGCCCTTTGCCTGCATTTTCTGATCTAATGGCTGTGAAGCAGAACTTCTGGATCCCCAGCTTTAGGGAGAATTAATTGAAGTTCTGGAGAGATAACCTAATGCTGGTATCACAGTCTTGTTAATGGGATCTGCAGTGTTGCTGCAAAGCTGGTGTGAAATTCCCAGCTATTACCTTATGAAACAATGTCCTGAATCTCCCTTGACTTACCAGTATTGCCACAGGCACTAGTTTTCTTAGGGTCTATGCTAAGATATTATTGATATTTTAGTGTTTCCCTGAATGACAGACCGGGCAATCACTTCTGCCAATCAAGGTGTGACTACCTGGATCCCACCCCTCACCTAGAGATCAGATGCTGTACCTGGCTCTGGATGACAGCATGTCACCTAGACACTGATATCAGCCTCTTCTCTTAGACATATCTAACATTCTCTTATGTGCGAATGAGAATTAAAGTCAAGATGTGACTAAGATTGCCTAAGGAAATTGTGTGATGTAAGGAAGAAGGGTGTGTTGGGATGGAATTTTAGAGATACTAAACATAGAGATAGGCTGTATCTCAAACTAGAGAAAAAGGAGGATGAAAAATAATAGAAATGGACTGGACATATAGGAATGGAAGAAAGGTATTAGGGGACTGTCCATTGTTACTATAGATAAGTGTAAGTATGGGCAAGTCAGTGATGTAGCCAATCATAAAAGAGCTTGGTCTTACTTTTTTGCTAAGCTCTATGGTTTCTGTTTATCACTTCTTAGAAAGAAGCTGAAAGGATCAAGGCAGAGCAAGAAGCCCATCTCAGAAGACTTCAAGAACAACTCAACCAGACCAGGTGTGAAACTCATCATGCATCAAATGGAGATTGTATTTTACTCTAAACAAAGCAAAAATCGAAGCTACCCTTTCTTACTCCTCACTAAAAGACATAGAGGAACAAGAAATGAAAGCATTTGGGACAATAGTTAAGAACTCGCAATGCTTCCTGTTTAACTGCCACACTTGTCTCAGGGTGTAAGTCACCTAGGGGGTGTTAACCACTTGCACTTAGTCAAGTGGAAAGTGACCCAGACCTTGGGCTCATTTGGCCTTGGGCTCACTTGGCCATCTCTCCTGCTGATGGGCATGTTCTGGGTGCCACAGGAAGGAGGCACCCATGGGAAAATAGAAAAAAATGTATACTTCTCAAGTGGGTGGAGGCCACTGGGCTTTGGGAAGTGGTATGGCCCCTCGGTACTGTCAGGTGGCCATCTGTATAGAGAAAGCCCAAGCTGAAAGCAGATATTGTTACCACGAAAGGAACATCTGTTAGAAGATCCAAGGGAAATATATGGATGGAAATTGCCTCTTAAGCTTAAACAACTAAAGAAAAAGCCTTTCCTTCTCTTTTACTTCTCTTTCATCTACACTAAAGGAACCGCTAAAGTAGGATATTTTATAATTGAAACAATGAATATTGAACTTAATAATTGTATGCTTTATGACTATAATTCCTTACAGATGGTAAATAGATGGTATAAGAAAAATTATAAAACATGTCAAAAATCTATTTCTTTGTATGCTTGCTTACAGTGCTAAAGTTGTCACCCTAATTCTTTTGCAGTCACATGTGAAAACCTGCTGGCTTCTTTAAATAAAAGATTATATGAAAATATGTGTTATTACATAACTGAAACATGATAATACTTTAAAAACTACAAGTCTATTACTTTGGTTTCATTTTATCCACTGAAAACTTTATAGAGAAACCTTCTGAATTTCCCTTGGGATATTAAGAATTAGAATAAGATTATCTTTTGTTTCTGTGGGTTTGGTTGTTCGGCTTCAGTAGAATGTTTTAAAAGTTACAGCATCATTGCATGAAGCTTTGTTTTATCTCCCTTATAATTGCTTGTTTCTATGAGGAACTCCCTAGTTGGGTTATGCTATAGGAGCTTGAATAATTTTTTAGTTGCTCGAATATGATTTATTTATGTAAAGAGGAAAAGCAGATACATACTAATGTCTGTACTTTTATTTTTTGAAGAATTTTATTTCTTGAAATTTTCATATTAAATAGAGACTCAGGCTCCTCAGCTGTATTTCTAGACCCGACCTGAAATTCAGAATGTACAGCACATTGACTGAGCATTTCTTCAGCCAAACTCTATAATGAGCTTTATAAGCTATACCAGTCATAAAGGCGAAAATAAAATACAGATCCAAAGAAATATTGTTTGTGAAAAACAGCTCATTTTTATTAATACTACTAATCTTAAACTGATTTTTAAAACCCTGTAATTCAGCATAATCCTGTGTCCAAGATTCTATTTGGTACATAGTCTAGACCATGTTACAAAGAACCTGATATCTGTCTCAGTACTGTCCCATTGTATCACCCCCAACCAGAACAAGGTTGTTCCCTTCTTCAGAAATCGTACAGGCACATATTACTTTCACTTGGGTATTGGTTGCTTAGCTGTGATCAAATACCTGACAAAAAGCAACTTATGGGAGGAAGAATTTCTTTTGGCTCAGGGATTGAAAGGGTGCAGTCCATCATGGCGGAAAAGACGTGGCAAAGTTCATAGCAGTGGAATGTTCAGCTGAGACTCCCATATCTGGGCAGACCAGGAAGCAGAGACCAAGAAATGCTGGTGCTCTGGTAGCTTTCTTTCTTTTTTCCCCTTTTAATTCAATCCAGGCCCCCAACCCATAGGATGGTGCTGTTAAATTGAGGATGAGTCTTCCCTTCTCAGTTAAGCCTCTCTAGGTTCATTCTCACAGACATAGGCAGAGGTATGTTTCCTAGTGACTCCTAATCTGGCCAGACTGAGAGTGAAAACTGTCACAGCTAGTGATCCACAATCATTTGTTTCCACCAGATTCCTTGGTTTCTACTCATCCACAAATACTCTGTTTCAGGGGACGGAAATGTGTTACTGGGTTCAAAACAGTAAGAGCGGGTAGTACAGGATGAACACGGGCAGTGTACTCAACTACAAGAGAACTTTTTTCCTGCCCTTGTTGGTTCTACTGTTGTGAAATTAATTGATTACCTTTGAAATATAATGAAAAACAAGGAAATGGGTCCTCCCCTAGAGCCTAGAGACAAAACGCAGCCCTGGTAACACTTTGATGCTAGCCTTACACGTCTCTGACCTTCAAGATAGTAATGTACCAAGTGTTAGTTGTTTGTGGTCATTTATTACAGCAACAAGAGGAATCACATATAATTTTTATTAGTTAACATTGTACATAGTTATTATTAATACCATATACTATATTACTGTATTAATGGCTTACACTATATTTTTGGGTTTATTTTGTGCCAGCTGTAAGTATAACAACTCATTTATTGCTCATGAAAACTTACATTTAGTTTTTTAAATTAGACTCATTATTAAAATATTAATATTTATCATTGTTATCATTATGATGCTGAAATCACATAATTATATAAGAGCAATACCATAGAACTTATGTTAATAACCACCTTTTGATACTGTTTCTTGCTTAATAAAACATAAAAGTATTAAATGATGAACCTAGAGATATTTATTAAGAGTTAAAATAAAAATTGTGTATTTAAACTAATATAAAAGAATTTTCAAAAACCAAGAACATTTTTAAAAGGGAAAATAAAAAGTATGGTAATTTGAATATATAGACTGCCCTTGAATATACAGACCACCAATGGAAGAAAGTAGAAAGTCTAAGAATAAAGGTGGTAACAATGGCGACACATGCCATAATCTCAGAATTTGGGAGGCTGGGGCAGGAGGAATGTGAGTTCCAGGCCAACCTGGACTATAGGATGAGACTATGTCCAGAACAAGAAAAATCTTGTATAAGAACCACAGCCCTTGATTACCTCCCAGAACTTGAAGGGAAGACCCTATTGCTGAAGACAGGACATATGTTGGACCCAAGGACTTGGAGCTGTGGAGTTGGAACTGACCAGAAAGCCTCCTCCCTGAAGACTAACTCTCATAATTTTAGAGGACACTATGCAAACTTCTAAAGGAGGAAACCAATCAATGGCCCAACCCCAGCTTTAAAGCCTCATAACCACAACAATGACCAGAACAACAAACTGTATCAGTACAGTAGTGGCAGGAGTTCAAAGACTCTGCAGCAATTTACATGCTTACCATCACACTGAGATTTGTCTCCATATCAAAGTTTTACACTTTTGTGAATATTGCAGCTATGTGGTATTATCTTACTGAGACATTATTTTGCATTTTTTTATACAAAATGGAAGAAAGTATACCGAAAGATGGATTTTTTGGGGGGGCCAGAGACAGCCCATAGATCCTCAACAATACTGGTTATTGCCATTGCACTTTAGTTACCCATCAGAACTAAGACCCTATTGCTGATGATACTACATATGTGAGTCTCAGAGAAACAAAGAGAAATCAAGCTTGTATTGACCTTGGAGCTACATCTCTGCTAGCTAGCTTTCCTAGTACTAGAAGGTGCTATGCATGTTACTGGAAGAGAAAAGTCATCATCACCCTTACCCAGATGTGAATACTGCAAGCTACAGTAAAAACTGGCTTGGCAAAATATGTCCACTGGTGCAACAGTGGCATGGATATTGTGGAAGTAACCAACTACCTTCTAATTGGATTTAAGGCCTGCTTCACAACAGGGAGTCCATAACCGACACTGTTATCAGAGCCAAGAACCTGTGGCTAGACAGGTCACATGACAAAGGGGAGAAATTACTACTATCATTCTACTAAATAGACATAATATTAAACACACTCATAATGACTTATTGTTATACCCATAGATAAGTGCATCTCTCAGCTCTCAACATAGAAGCTTCTTCTTGCAGTAGATGGCAATTAACAGAGATACCCATAAATGGTCAACGTGCAGAGAATAAGAGACTGTGGAGTGACCAGTCCTAAACAGAACTCCTATATTGCACATTTGCCTCCCAAGGCTCAGGGATCATTGCAGAATAAGGGGCAGAAAGATTGCAAGAGTGAGAGGAGGTAGATGAATACAAGGAAACTGTGTTATCTGGACACCACAGGGTCATTGCACATATGAACCCACAGTGCTTGTGACAGCATGCACAAGAGCTGTCAGACAGGGGCCCAGCATGGATATGAGAGGTAGACAGGAAGCTCTAGCTTTAGGTGAAGATCTATTGGCAACTGACAGATCCTGGGAAAAGGAAAGTCAGTTTTCTTTACTGATGTGATGCCTGGTAGATTGACCAGACTTCAAGGCATAGACATACGCCGAAGAGCACTTGGGAAACACAGACTAGATTTGATAGGCATTTAAATAAGGGGAAAAAATAAAAATAATAATAGAGGACATTAAATCAGAGGTGGAGTAGTAAGGTGGGGTGGAGTGATGGGAGGGTGTCTAAATAGGATCAAAATACATTGTGTGAAATTCTAGAATCAATAAAATAGTTTAAAATTTTTACTTTATTGTTAGTAGTGGGTATGTGTGTTCTATTAGAAATCTTTCTCTTATCTAAGGCCATCAAGTTATTTAGCTATGTATGTTTAGCTTATGTATCATCCACTTTTAGGACTGTAATCCAGCAAGACCCACAATGTTAGGAAGAGTGGATCCAGAGTTTTTTTTCTGGAGAAGGATGATTCATTTTCCAAAGTCAAAGATTTAGGAGGTGGTCTTTTGTCAATATTATGAAGGAACAACTCTGAATTAAATATTAATGCCTGACAGTTTCTTTTTGAGGTTTTCTGTATCTTTCTGGCCTCCTTTCCCACTCAGGTAAAGATAATGTCACATTACATATTAAAATAGCTATAACCAATTTTTGCATAATATGGTTTTGAAGTACTTTCATGTCAACATTTGCCTTTACATTTTAGAATCATATATTTTTTCCATCAACTTTATTTTAAAAAATACTTTTATATTTATTTTAAAGAATTCTCTTCCTTCCTTCCTTCCGTCCTTCTTTCCTTCCTTCCTTCCTTCCTTCCTTCCTTCCTTCCTTCCTTTCTTTCTTCCTTTTCTTCTTATTTTTTTAGGGCTTTCATGTAGTCTGGATTGACTTTGAACTCACTATGCAGGCAAGGTTGGCCTGGAACTCCTGACCCTCTAGGCTCGACTTCCAAAGTGCTGAGATTATAGAAATGTATCACCATCCCTAGTGTGTGTAGTCCTGGGTATGGAACCTAGGACTTCATGTGTGATAGAAAGTGCTCTACCAGCTTAGGTACATTCCCAGCCCTGCAGCCTAGAAAATTTGAATTGCTGGGTTAGTTCAGTGCTAGAGTTGTTTTACTGTTGCCTGTGACTTGCATAGCTTCTAGAAAGGAACTGCTCACTACTTTACTTTTGTCTCCCTGTGTTATGTTTGATTTTCTGTAGTGGCATCAAACTATTTTCTACATTCTTAGGTTTCATTGCTTTGCCCACAGTGTGTGTTGGCATGGGTGTTTGCCTTGTTTTGTTTTTGTGCTTCTTCTGCTGGGGTTTTGTGGCCTTCTGGATTTGTGGTTTGTTATCGAGCAGCAGTTTTGGAAAACTCACCCACATTCTGTTTCCCCTCCAGATCTTCTCCAAGAGCCTGACTATACTATAGTCAGCCTTGTCACATTGTTTCACGTGGTGTTGTGAGCTACTCCATGGACAGCTATGATTTTCTACCTGTCTGTGTTACAGTCT